CTAAATTCGTTTAATAGTTCATGGAATGCACTTTCAAGTTCTTCATAAAGAGTAGTTACCTCATCTTAAGTAAAGTCTTCATCTTCAAGAGCCATGAGACATAAGTTGGCTACTTCATTTTCAATTTCATCACTTGAGCTTTTATCTTCACTTTCTCCCCAAGCTGCTACCATGACCTTTTTTGTTTCTTTTGTAGTCTTTTCCATGATTCTTCAATTTTGGACAATCCATCTTCATATGTCTAGGATTTTTGCACTCATAGCAAATTATAGGCTCTTTCTTGTTATCTTTGTTATACTCTTTCTTGAAAAGTCTTCTTCCTCCATAATTGTTTTTTTTGAAGTACTTTTTGAGATTTCTGCTAAACATAGCATAGCTTTCATTCTCACTGGAGTTTTCATGTTCTTCTTCATTTGATAAGACTTTGAATGCAATTCCACTTTTCTTTTTATTTTCAACATCCTCATGTCCTTTCATGGTGATCTCATGAGTCATAAGGGAACCCATAAGCTTATCCAATCTAAGTGTACAGAGATTTTTGGCTTCTACAATTCTTTGGTAAACACCTAAGAATTTTTCTTACCAACTCACTGTTAGTATAAGTTTTGCCAAGAGATTTCAAAGACTTTACAATTTCAGTAAATCTAGTAAACATACTTGAAATAGATTCATCAGAGTTCATTTTAAACAATTCATAACTATGAACAAGCATATCAATATGAGATTCCTTCACTTGGTTTGTACCTTCATATGTTACATCAAGTTTGTCCCAAATTTCTTTTGCCGAATCATAACTTGAAATTATATTATACTCCTTAGAGTCTAATCCATAAATAAGGGTGAGTTTGGCTTTAGCATTGGCTTGAAATAATTTATGATCTTTCTCATCACATTCATCTTCAGTTTTAGGTACACTAATATTGTCTACTAATTTGGTAAGAATTTTTGGATCTTTGGTGACAATAATCCACATGGCATAATCAGTGGCTTGTATGTATAAGGTTATCTTATCCTTCCAATGACTATAGTTATTTCCGTCAAATAATGGTGGCCTATATGTGGCTTGTCCTTCAGCTAAGGTTGATATGGATCGAAACTCCTAGATGGTTAAATCTAAAACAAGAGTCGAGACCCTGATACCAATTGTTACTCATAAGACAATCTAAGAGGGGGTGAATTAGGTTTTTATAATTTAAATTAATAATATCCTAATAAAAATTATGACTAGCACAATAGATAAATATAATTAATGTAATAAAAATAATTAAAACAAGTGTCTTAACAACTATGTTAGTTAATGATTTTAGCACGGTAAAAATGTGAAATATAGCTATGGCAATTTAAAATAAAATAAAGAGATAAGGGAGAGAGAGGCAAACAAATTTATAGTGGTTCGGCTTCAACTCGGGCTACGTTCACTCCTCAAGCTCCACTTGAGATTTTCCACTATACTCTAACTTCACAAGGTGCTAGCAACCTTTTCACAGATAGAGCAATCCTCCACAAATTTTACACTGATTTTCTAAGTCAAGAACACTGAGTGTACTACACTCTTACAATGTTGAAAAGAAGGTATTTTTGCTTTCACAGAAAGCTACAAGAATTATCTCTCACAGATAGATATAAAAATGAAGCTCTAGTTTTTCTGTAAACCTCACACAGAAAAGATGGACTTAAAGTTATAAGGCTCAATGTATAATTTCTGAGAATAGCTGTGAGTGATTATAGATCAAAGAATATTTTCAGGTTTTTGTAACTTGTTTACATTAAAGCCTTTGGTATATATAATGAAAATTATAGCCGTTTATAGCCGTTGTAGTCATTTGAATTTATAGTCGTTTATAGCCATTGTACTTCCATTATTACCAATTTAAATATCTTCCACTCCATCATTACAAATTTGAATATCTTTCACTTGAACCTTTTGAACTGTTATTATGTTGAGCTATTTGAACCTCTGTTTTGGGCTATTTGAACTCCTGATTTAATCAAATATTAAATACATTCTAACAACATTTAGGATAAAGGTTTAGGTGAGAAATAATAGGACAAAATAAAATTTGATTTTATTAAAACATAAAATCATCAAAATAAATTTTGATTCTATTTTTCTCTTTCAAATAAATTATCAAAATAAATTTTGATTCTATTTTTCTCTTCCAAATAAAATCAAAATAAATTTTGGATTATATTTTTCTCTTTCAAATAAATTAAAACATAATTAAATAAATCATCAAAATAAATTTTGAATTCTATTTTTCTCTTTCAAATAAATTAAAACATAATTAAATAAATCATCAAAATAAATAAATTTGTTTGAAAGAAAAAAATAAAATCCAAAGTAAATAAGTCTAACAATAATTTCTTATTATGCTACCATTTCAAAATATAAATTAAAATAGCAACAATTTGATTTTTGTAATACACATTTTGGGACAAGCAAAATTTACACAAACTTCTACCGGAAGATATAAATTAGAGATGAATTTTGTTAATTTGTGTTTTCAGGTTAGCTTGAGATAATTTTAGACCTAATGTGATAAATTTAAATTTGGCTTTTTTATATTGTTGTGATATTTATTTTTATCAATTTTTTTTTTTTTAAATAGAAAAATGAGGGACACATGGAAGAAGGAAAAGTAACCAAGACTTGGATTCGCTTTGTTTGGGAAGTGTGGTTTGGGCTAAAATAGTCAATAAAGACAAAATAAATTAAAATAGTTAATAAGATAAAATGTCATATGCAAATCATAATCATTTTACTTTTTCTTTCACAACCATAAAAAAAAAAAAACAAAAAAAATACTATCATCCTAAACACAAATTTTTTAACCAAGTTAAAATAATTAAAAAATCAAAAAAGGCAACTAAAATAACATATTCTCAAACGGGTTATATAATAGTATAGATTTACTTGCCTTTTTAAGATAGAAAATTACTAACTAAAATTTTATATTTAAATATTGTTACTACATTTTTCAATTAATAATAATATTAGTAATTCACTTTTTTTAAAATATATTTTTATAATACAGCGAACCATAAGTAGAATTTTATCAATTGTAAGACAGTTCATGCAACTTTCACCTACGGAGTGTGCCAAATTGGGATAGCAGTAAAATGATATTCAAGCACTGGAAATAAAACAATATAATTTATTATTCACAATCCTTGTAATATTGGCTCTAAATACAGAGCAATCCTTGCAATGTTGGAAATTAATCGCCACTTAAAATCAACAAAAGTCTCTGAATACAGAGCAATTTTTGTACTCGGCATGAAGCGCCATCAACAAAAGCCTTCGAATACGGAGCAATCTCCGTGCTCGACACGGAGCGCTATCAACAAAAACCTCTAAATTCGAAGCAAAAGCCTAATTTCCTAAACATACATACATTCATACATACATGCATCCATATAGTCATTCATTCATTTATTTTATTCATTTATTAAATGTATTCTATATTAAGAGACCTAACATCTATTTGAACAACATAACTCGGCTATAAAAAAATTTCATTCCTTCTATTGAAGACAATGAAAATTTTAGGAAAACTGTGGTGACCCAAAACATATATATCAAATTATTGGGGGTAACCCAAACAAGCCCTAACAATGGGCCTAACCCAAGTAAGAAAGGTCATCAAGCAAATATATCACACCCACCTATATAAAAGAAAGGGCATCCCATAAAAGAGGATATGTTTTCTCATCTGCGCAGCGGAGCACAAACAAACTTTTCAATTCATTATCTTCTTTCTTTAATTCAAGTTGCTAACTTCATCATCGAAGTGTCTCCGGTTGGGTGGCACAAACCATGTCTACCTTGCAGATTTATATGGATAAATCTCATCTCTTCATTGGATCTCTTCAACAATACATGTGAGAGGATTTTTTAAGTCTCACAATGGCTCACTTTCTAATATATATGATCAGTATTATTTTATGTTGTTAGTTTTGTACTAATAATTTTGTTAATAATAATGTCTAAGAATAAAAAATTGACATCGAGTAGGATTGGATTCTCGTGGGGCAGATTGAACCATTGCTAGTAAGGCTGAGCATAGAGTCATTCGACCAGCGAAAATCACCAAATCTAATATGATACGCGCATGTACGAGCGATTTCAAACTTGTAGTAGGGTAGAATGCTGTTTGAAATATTATCATATTTCAAGTTATCAGTTTCACTCGCATATACCCGTCTGTACTTATACTCTCTTTTCTTTTATTATTATTATAAAATTCTAGACCGTCGATCTGAATCTTTCATATTAATAGATATATATTATACACTCACAGTTGTTGTTTATACATATACATAATATTATATATATATATATAGTAATTACTCACAGTTGAAAATTACAATTGTTGCACATCCACATACCAGATAATATAATATAATATATATACACGTAAATTGAAACAAACAAGCCCTATGCTTTATTTATTTATTTTTAGTAAATTGAATTTCTTTTATTTATGTACCTAAATGGAACTTTTTTTTTTAGATGGATTATCAATTTCTGAATTTTTGAGATTAAAAAATTATGAATAAAAAATAATTTTAAAATAATAATTTTATGAAAAGAAATATGTGATTTTATAGGCTAAAATAATATTTAGAAAATGAGGAGAAAATGCTCAAAAATAGGGGGGGAAAAAAAGGACCAAAAATAAATTTTTAAAGAAAAATTTCAATCCATATATCTGCAAATCCTATTTGTACAAACCGTAACATGCATTGCGAACAGTTGCGAATTCAATTTTTTTCAAATCGCAAACATACAAACAGCCCAAACCACAAACAGAATTGTCAAAAACTAATCCGCAACGGCCCTTAATTCCTAGTTATTAGGGTGTAAAGATGGATTTGCGTGGGGCGGATCGAAATGACATAGGTATTAGGGTATAATTGTAAATTAAAAAAATACAAATGGACGTATGTAGCAAAAGAAAAAGAAGAGAGGGTTATTTTACAAATTACAAAAATAAACTGATTATTGAGTTTGAAGATGAACGCAGCGGCTGGAGCCTGTACGAAACTACTAGAGCTGGACTTTGCTGAAAGCCTCAAAGATTTGAGAGAGCATTTGAGAGAGAGAGAGAGAGTGAGAGAGAGAGAATCCATTAAAAAAGTCTTCTCTCCCTCTGCAGGTAATCCTCAAAACCCTATTCTTTGTCTTTATCTTAACAATTATTAATACAAATATGCATATATGTGAGTGAATGAGTGAAACATAGTGTTGTTTTGGGTATGGCCGTGGTTTTTTTTTTTCCCATTTTACTTCTTTATTTGTGACTCTAAACTATGAAGAAATTATTGATGTTCTATATGGGTAATTGTAGAGTTCAAACTATGAACGAGGGATGTTACTGTTTGCAAATTAATAACTCTAGTGATGCATTTTCATAACTTACCTACTCAAACGATTATCTTTTGTTTCTGTTTTCAGTGTAATCTGATAATTGGCATTACAACTTTTGTTTTTCCATTTAATTTCACGCAATTTGAACATTGTTTGCGGGACAATGGAAAATGAGAATTTTAACATTATCACTGGCATGAAAAAAATGCAGCATTACAATTCTGATTGTGCACTCTATGCAGACATAAAATTTGACCTTTATGTACAAAGTGATTGTCCTCATCAATATTTTAAAAGGCTCTAGGCACACCGAGGCGATAAGGTCTCCTATAGCCTAAGTGCGAGGTGCGAGGTGAGGCACAAGCCTCACCAAAGGGAAGCGCAAGTAGTAGAAGAAAAGCAAAATTATAAAACAAGCAAACTTTTCAACATATCAAATATATATATATATATATAAGTTAAAAAAATCGTAACCATTTATGATAATCTTTAAACATAACACTCAATTTTCTAAAAATTAGAAATATAATATCTAACAAAAGATATAGAGCATAATATTCAATCTTTTATCACTTTATGCTCTCTTTTGATCACATTTGGTCATTTTATATTGAAGAATTTTGAATCCCTATGGGTATGCCCACAAAAAAAGTACTTAATCAACAGTTGGAGTAGAAAAATAGGTAAAGCCCATGAAGCCCACGCCTTGCGCCTCGAAAAAAGCCCTCGCCTCAGCTCCTTGCATATTGCGCCTTATCTCGACTTGTTCGAAGCGCAAGGATGCGCCTCATTGTGCCTTTTAAAACAGTGGTCCTCATATTTGAATCCACAACCTCAAGGTTATTGGGCCTCATTTTAACAATTGAACCATAGTCCCCCATTTTTATTGTATCTTAAAAATGTATTATGATGATCAATTCAATTGAAATATATTTGGGACACAAATCAGTAAAGACTTCTAGGTTCAAGGAATTGAATAGTTTTTGTTGGAATTTAGAAATCTAGAAACCATAGTAGATTTGTAGGATTTTGATTTCACCCTGTTGGTTATTGAGAGTACAAACTATTAGGAAAACAAAAATATTGAATCTTATGGGTTTCTTTTGGATTGTAAAAAAAACTAAACTCAACGAAGCTAAGAAGTTGAATTAGATTGAGTATGTTATCTTTGAATGAGAGATTTCGTTCCAAATCATGAATGTGTTTGTTCAAAAGTTTTACACTGATATTAAGTATTTATCTATCTAGTTTTCTCTATGTTGTCTCAGCAAGCAGACAAAGGGGTTTTGGTTCATAAGGAGGGGTAGGGATGCTGTGTGCTAATGAAGACCGAAGGGATTTAGTTTCATGTTAGAATAAAATGTAAGGGCAATTATATAGGAGCATGCAACTGAACTGATAACATAGCTAAGAATGACTTCAAATTAATGATCCAAAATCATCTATTATTTGCTTTTGTCTCAATAATGAAAATTTTCTTGTATGGGGCTCACATAAAGGAGGGTCATGCACCTTTTTTCAGTTTTTCGGTGGCCTTTTGAGGAGAACTGGAGAAGCTTAGTGCCTCGTGATGATAATAGATAAGGCAGCACATGGCATGGAGCCACATGCCTTGAGGTGACCAAAGTTTGAGCCTTGAGATATAGGATTGAGGCACTATCTGCCATCTTAGAAGACCATGTGCTATTTTAGTAGGAAACATTGAGCAATCATATGGATTTGTACTTTTAGATGTTAAACTCGGCTTATTGGAAATTTGGAAGTCTTGCAATTTTATGTTTTCCATTATACAATGGTTGTCATTGACTCATCGTTCTTGCACATATGTGGCATTGACATAAAATAGTTTCATTCAGTTGTCTTGGAATTTTCTTCCCTCTACCTTCAAAGTATGTTAGGGTGCTTAAAGATTTAGAAATAAACAATGCTAGATTAGTTCTAAAAAAAATAAAAATAAAGCAATGCTAGATTGGGAGGCAAATTGGAATATTTATGTGGCTTATATGTGTCCCTAAGATTAGATGGTTTTTTCCTCTTGATAGAAGGTAAAGGAATGTCACTTTAGCAACAATAAAAGTGAAATGGAGAACTGAAGATTGAAAACTAAAAATAGCGAACATTTTCGTTACTTAGGTTCGATTATTAATAAGAAATGAAGATTGCAAACCATAAGATTGATCAAGGCCAGCAATGCTTTATGAGACACATCAATGCTTTACGGGACATAGTGTTGAGCAAATAAGAAATAAATTGTGCATAGAAGGAGTGTAGCAGATATGATAATGATGTAGGATAATTAGGGACAGCCACAACAGTGGGCTTTTGAGGCTGTGAACAGTGGATTTGTGAAAAGTTTTTTGGGCTGTTAAAAGTGCAGAAAATAAAAGAGGTAAAGAAGGAGAAGGAGAAAGATATAAGAATCACTCCTAGAATCCCTTAGGCATCACACCTAGGGTTTGATTGCATCACACTATCCATAAAGAAGCTTTAAAAGCTCTAAAATTCTCTAAAATACCAACTCTATTAAATTATAAGTATTGCATGGCTTGATACAGAATTAGAAGACTTCCTAAACCAATTACAAAAAAAAAAATTCTATTATAATATCTTTGACTTCCAAAACTAATTTAAGACTAGATAAGAAACAAAAACAAAGACTAATTAAATAACTTGACCCACAAGACGACTCATGAGCGACCCACAAAACCTATATTTGGAAATTCTGCAAATCACCAAAATACTCCTAAGCCTAAAATCCTAAAAAACATAGATATAATTATAAAATAAGACTCTAATAATACTAGAAACATAATTATAGAACATTTCTATCAGTTTCTCTATAAAATCATTTCAATGTCCAAATATCATCGCTTCTTTACATTTAGCCTTCCTTGAGCTTCTTATTCTCTGCATCAAATAATGCTTAGATGGATATATGATAAGACTACGAAAGATGGAATTAAAAATGAATATATTCGTGAACCTATAGGAGTATCACCTATTGAAAATAAGTTAAAAGAGAACATGTTAAGATGGTTTGGTCATGTACAACGAAGACCTGTAAATACAATGGTAACGAGAAGAGTGATATGATCACCATAAATAAAGATATAAGGGGGACGGGAAGATTTAAGTTGACATGGGATGCAGTAGTGAAAAAATATATGAATTTGGTTAATTTGACTAAGCATGTAGCTCTTGAAAGAGCAGGATGGCGAATCAACATCCATGTAGTCAACCCACTTGATTAGGACACAACACTTAGTTTGGTTGTCAAGGGAAATGGATTTGGAATGCTTTTAGAGTTTTTGTATTTATTTTTTTATTTTTGTGGAGAGGATGATGGGGCTTTTAGATAGTAAAATCCATCAATATTGGTGCCATTTAGCACTATGCTCACGAAAGTAACTTGGGGTTGGGCCTCAGGCATTATAAGAATTTGTTGTGAGTTGCCCATTGGTGGTAGAAACTTCACTAAAGGTGTCTTAAATTGCATAAGTTTGAGCCAAGTGAGCACAGAAAAACAAATACTGAACATAGATGTGATATGGCATGGAGGTACAAACATGAAGATCCCTAAAAAAGTAGGCCACAAAAGCACCAAGAGCACAACATTATATTGGAATAATTCTTACATGTATACAAATAATACTTGTTAATAACTTAGTATACTATATTGTATATTCAAATTTTCATAACGTGGAAGATGAAGCTTTATAAGTTCCTTAGGATTATTATAGCATGTACATTACTACCGTTGTCTTATTATATTTTTTACTTTAGAATTTGATCTTGTTTTATAAAGAAATGTGACCATTGCATGCTTGACTTGTGGTTTCATGTGCGTAATATCACATTTAAAATAATAATAAGAAGAAGAAGGAATACTATGAACTTTAGGATGTGTTTGTGAACATTTGTGATATGTTGGAATAAGTGTCCAAAATATTGAGATTTACTTTTGAATTATGGACACATCCATCAGTTTCTATTTTGTTCTTCATTTTCCTTAAATAAATTCAGCATTCATTTATATCTACAATTTTGTTCTATATAAATGTATATTCTTATGCTGACTAATATATCTATTATGGAATGTAATTTCAAGGAAAGAAGCTTAAATTTAAAGAAGGATGCCACATAGAACCCGGCCTATGACAGCACTCTTGTTGTTTACTGGTCTCAATGTTATTTTGGTATCAACCATTACTCCAGTCTATGATTTTGTCTGCTTTCTTCCATACTGGGAGAGAAGGGTATGTTTCCTATCTTTGCTTTTTTGGGCCAACAAAATACTTCATGCTTTGTAAGTAATTGCATTGGACAGAGCCAAAAGGGCGCCTAAGTCAATTACAGTTGACATATAGAAGATATTCATCTACAGCTAGCTAAAGTATTCAAATTATCTACGATGTCAAAAAAAGTATGGGGCAATGGATCTCCAATCCAAGCACACCGCATTAGACATATAATGTGTTTTTACCATCTAAGGGCCTCTAATTCTATGGCCCCTCACCTTGAATAGAAACAGCAATACAATCATGCATCCACTGCCACTCTGCATTGGAAGATGGTCTACTGACAACTCTGCCTCTTTGCATATAGAGTGCTGATTTAGGGAACAGTTTACCTCTTTGGGTTAAGTTTTCAAATGCCGAGATTTATAGGCTGAAGGATATATATGTGTGTGTGTGTGCTTTTTTCCAAATTATGTCTAGAAAATATATTTATTCTGGTGCAAGAAAAATAGTCATACATTATTCCACCCTCCTTTTTCTTTCCTTAATGTTGTTAAAATGCTGTTGTTCCTTGAATGATAGCACTTCCTTTCTACCTTTTTTATAATAAAAAAAGAAATGGAAAAAAAAAGTAATAATCGTAGTACTCTATTTTGAGCTCGTATTCCCACTACAAATAATTAGAACTTCGCTTTTTGGTGGGAACCGTGCCACCAGATTGTTGGTTTGGGCTAGGGGTTTGTGATTTCTGGAATCTGGATCATTGTAATTTGTTGCTTTTGGTGTTTTATTTCCTTTCTCTAATCTTGTTGTAAGGTGTGCAGAACTAATGAATACTGCTATTCATGCTTCTAGGGCTCCTTGAAGTTACTGGATACCCTATAACATTTCATTGTTTCCATCGTTTTATTTTTCATTTTTTAAAAATCCCTTCTTTTCTATTTATTAAACTATATCATTTTTATGTGAAGCGAGATTTTTTTGGTAACTATGCGAAGCAACTTATTTGAAGCTAACTCAAGCTTCCTTTTTCATTCGAATTTAATGGGAATCCATGTTTACCTGTCCATTGGTTGATACGTCTGGTAGGTAATTTATTTATAGTTTTTCATTCTAATTTTTGATACTGGATTCATTCAGAGAGAACGTCGTCGTCTAGAACGCGAAGCTACTTTGGCAAAGGGATCTGAATCAACCTAAATGGATCTCCCCATGTTAAGAGCTAGGAGATAACAGGATCTTTGGTTAGCATGAATAGCTTGTGTTTGTTGATCACAGAATGACACTAATATATGAAGATGTAGGAAAAAGAAGCCTTTGTTTGTTCACCTCTTGAATTTTGTGGCTCATATTATATCTTTCAGTTGGGGGGAACATGATAGTTATACATGTCTAGCTGAAACAATTTTTACCTGAGTAACTGTTATAACTGTTTTCATGCAATGTTGTTATGACTATTTGATGACTATTGCTTAGTAATCATTTTTAGAAAGGTTTAAATTTTGTAATTGGTGAAAATTTGGGGCATATAACTCGATTCACATGGAAATGATAGGCTGCCATTTTTGTCATACTGACATAACGTAAATGATATCTTAGTGGTGATACTATTTAGGCTACAATAAGGCTATTGGAAGAAGCTCTCTCTGGATGTTCAAATGGGGACCTCTGAGGTCTTCTGAGATTTTTACTGGGGCTTTCTCATTGCATCCTCGATCTGCTGTTTGGGAAGCAGTTCTGTCTGCTTCTCCATCCCCTGGAAACCACTTAGTTTTCATGAGAGAATTGAAATATGTTGTGTTTGGATTTGTGGATTCGTTCTCTTTCACCCTTTCTTTTTCTTGTCACTCCACAAATCGCTATCCTACTTTTGGTGGGGAATAGCAGCGTAGGCTATTTAGCTTTCATCCTTCAAGATCCCTCCACTGTGTTTGGACAAATGCCGATTTCGGGAGTTGGTTCTATGCAAGCATAAAAAACTTACAGTGAAAATAAGAGCGCTTATTGTTCAAAATTAAGGGTTCAAACACTTGGTAGAGGTCGTAGAAGTGTTATTTTACAATGTTTTTGGCACTATGTGAGGGACATTGATTTCATGTCCTCTCATCTGAAAAGCTTTCATCTTTGTAAGTCCAGATGGTACCACAAATTTCAGGTGGTCCTGCTTTTATGACCCCGTGATCTTGTGGAGTTTGCTTGGTCAGCTTTGGCTGTTGCTGCTAATACAGATACAGCTGCTTGTGATTGCACTTTTTTTGTTGTATTCCTCTCTGTTGCTTATTACCTCATATTTGGAAGTTTGCTTATCCTTACCCTTGTATTGTTCTTGTTTGCTCTCAATGAATTACTTGCCAAAAACAACTCTATGTTCAGCTTTGTTTGGGTGTGGGATATGAACTTTTTTTTTTCTGCTTTCCCTGCTTGCTTGTGCCAACTGTCCATGTTGTTACTTGAAGCAAAGGTCTGTTCTCTGGAGGTGTCTGTTTCGTGATCCAACAGTGTATTGTGTTGGGAAGTCCCATTAACTATATGTTGGAGAAAATAAAGTAAAAGTAACAATTATTTTTCTGGTCAGGTTAAAAAATAGTAAGGAAACGAATCGGGATTAACTCAGTTGACAGTTGATCAGAATTCAGAACTCATATACCTCACTAGGTAGCCCAAGTTTCTTGGACCAAATCTCGCCAAAGAGGCAAGACTCTATCTCTCTTAACTACGGTGTTTGATGTATCAAAAAAATGAGAAGAAAATAATTATATATTAGTACCAAAAAAATCATTCTCTTTTCTGTTTAATTACCTAATTTTCTTTTCTCTGGACAAGTTTGTGATCCAAACTTTAGCCTCAAATACCAATTTGGGGAGTCTATGTAGTGCATCTGTTTACTTAACTTACATGATAATCGACAATCTACACTGCTTGGATTCATTAATGGGATAGGGCTTGCTATTTGGCTTCGTTTTGATCTTATGTTTTTTGATTTCCAATAATTGAAGAGTTATTTGTGAAGCTTAATTTATTATTTTTATTATGTCTGTCAATTTTATTTTATTTTTTTTCTTTACTTGTTAGAGGACTCCTCCTCACCTTGTACTTTCACTTCCTTTATCAATAAATTTTCTTTTGTTGCTAAAAAATAACAAAAAACACAGCCTACACTACTATCTTCTAGCACCTCCTGACTTTGACATTGGAACTGCTTGGGTTCAACTGTTGTCCTAGATTGTAGAGTTTTCAATAATTAAGTCCAATTGTGTTATCCCTATCAAGGTCCTCCCATTGTGTTGCATCTAGGGCCGGAAGAAAAATTGATTGAATTGAACCGATCGTTCAAGGTTGATCAAATTTCAATTTTGGGTCACTTTTTCATAAAGTATAGTATGTATTAGTCATGTGAAATATTTTACACTGATATCGAATAAATATTATATTTAATTTCTTTTATATTCTGATTCTTTGAGCATTAGAATATAAATCACAAATAATACACATTTTGGCATTTGTAGTGCAACTTTTACCGACAATATAAAAAAATATGGATATAAGTCTTAAAATAAATTATATAATGATAAAAAAAAATTATACAAAAATTGATTAAAAATTCAATATAATGATAATACCACATTATCATTGATATGTGATACTATCAATTAATAGTACATAAATATATACAGAGTAAACCTTACATGTCAAATGTAACTAACAATTCAATAAATTTCATATATTTATAGTGAGATACTTATATTTACATGTCAATAATAATGACATCACCGCTACATTCAAAAATTTTCATAGATAATATGGTTTATAGTAATCTCTTCATTTTCAATTAAAACAACTATTATTATTCTCATAATTTTTAAAATGTCATTGACATTTCACTTTAATAATATTTTTGTAATTTTTTTATTTAAAATATTTTCTTTATGTTTGCAAAATTTTTTTAAAAAAAATCCCAAAATCCTGGGGCACGTGACCCTCCTTGACCTTCACTCCCTCCGCCGCTGGTGGCTTCCCTCCGCCACAGGTCCCGTTTCGATAATCCGAACCGTTAATGTGTAGAATTCGTCGAATACTATATGCCTTTAAAAAATCACGTTGATCAAATATTGATAGCTATCTCATCGGATCAGTTTTCTATCAATCGTTTATTTTTTCATCATCTATTTTTTTATACAAAACTGATTTGATTACATAACTATCGATATCCGATCAATATAATTTTTTCATAAATATATAGTACTCAACGAGTTTTACACGTTGAATGATTTGAATTATCGAAATAGGGCTTGTAGAGGACCTCCACGGGCCCAACAGCACTGGAAGGAAGCCAGGCCCTACTTTTTATTGTAAAAATTTCAAACAATGGCCTCCCTCTTGGGCTTTACTTGTTTATCAATGGGGAAATTACCCATAAGTCCCATGTAGAACATGTGGACACCATTTAATCCCATAACTTTTTGAGTACACTCAAAAGTCATTTCCCCTCTCTCTCTGCTTTTTGCTTCCTTCTTTACGCCTCCTCCTCTAACCATAATCTCAGTCCCAAAGTCAAACAAGAAGGCGATGAAGAACAAGAACAAGAAGACGATGAAGAACAAAAACAAGAAGATTTGTACTTAGATTGAACATAATTTTTGTGCCAATATTCACCTTAATTTTTGAGAAAAAAAGTACACATAATTCAATTACAGAAAATACATAAAATACCATGGGTATCATATATTATGAAATATATACTCATGCAAGCGTTTGATTTTTATTTTTTTATTTTTAAATGAGAAATTTCATAGGATCATGAATAACTTTCTCACATACACATGTTTTGGTCCTACAAGAACGTCACATATATAACACTATTCTAGGCAATGTTGAGGTTTGACTTTTCCAACTAAAAATATATATATATTTACTAATTGTTTAGGAAAATGTAAAAATAAGTTATTATTTTATTCTTATTGCAAATAAGTTTTACAGATTTCTTAATACAATCCAAAACAGGTTATTTTTTAAAGTATGAAATATTCTAAACTATCAGTCAAACCTAACATAAATTTGAAATACATCAATCAAATTTAATTACCTTATACATTCTAAACTCTTTCACATTCACACCTATGTGAACTCTTAAATACACATAACAATATACAATGAAGTTGCTCCATGATCCAATATTTTACTGTTGTTAATTTTAAAGGGTATATATATATGTTTCATTCTAAGTCAAATTTTACTAGAATTTCTTATAAAAAATCATCCAGATAGAATTTTAAAACTATGTGATGACACTACTGGTTCCTTGGGAAAGGGTCGGGCTGATCCAGGCCTCCCACACCGCTGTCCGACCGTTGGGCCCACTGAGTAACCTGCACAAGAGTCCAACGGGGACGAGCAAGTTAGAGAGGAGAGATCAACGGAAAATAGAGATAGGATGATGATAAAGAACATAACCTTCTCTTTGTCTTAGAAACCTACTTATATCCTTTGTTCATCATTTCCTTGTCCACTCCGACCTGTCATGTTAACCGAAAGTCTATGTTCTAACTTACCTTGTTTATGGTGAGGCTATTCTGTTCCGACATGAAAGGGTTATCGTAATAAATGTTGCAGGGAACCTCATTAATGGCTGGATTTTTGTCTACTTGTGTAACTAGTTCTTCTCTTGACAAGTGTTTAAACGTCATTGGTTCTTAGTGCAACGTTGGGTTCTAAGGATGTTGAGTTTTAGTATTTGAATCATGAATTGGGGCCTTAAGTGGTGGGCCAAAAGCCCCTATGAGCCCACCTATGTCACTATGAATTACCATAACATTTTAATTAAAATATTATTTTTTACAACAACCAAAGGTGATATGATCACTATTTTTGTATGAGATATTCTACAATAAATACTCTTAAAAAATTACGTATCATCTGTAAATTATAATATTTTGTGCCTCATTTGCAAAACTAAGGGTCAGTTTTGTTTAATTTTAGAATTATGATTTGAGTGTGGAGTTACATTTTAAGTTTTAAGTTTTTAAATCATGATTTGAAAAAAAAAAGGGGGGGGTTTTTTTTTTAAGGTCCCAGATATTAAGATTTTATAACATAAAGGACACTCAATATTTTCATAATGTCTAAGGTCCCTCAATATCAATCCATAGAAAATTCGATCCAGAGAATTTCTCTAGACACATCACAGAGAAAATTCCAAATTTCTCTGGATATATCACATAGAAAATTTCAGAGAAAATTTCAAATTTCTCTGGATAGTGCTCTGTTTCTTGAAGCAGTGGTTCCACTATAGAACGAATTGATTTTGCTGTGCTACCCAGATCCAGATCAACTGTGGCACAAGTCTTTAAGTAGGAATGCTTCCATATATTAAAACTATGAAACTTTTTATCAGATTCCAAATCAAATTTCCAGAGAAAATTCGATCCATAAAATTTCTTTGAACATCACAGAGAAAATTTCAAATTTCTCTGAACATATCACATAAAAAATTTCAGAGAAAATTCAAAAT